AGCCGCCGCATGAACCAGGTATGGCAGTGTGAAATAGCCGATGCCTGGGGGCAGGAGAGGGGGCAGCAGCTGAGGGCAGGGCCCAGGCACCAGTGGGGGTTCGCATTCCTCCCTGGAGGCAGGGCGGGATGCGGATTACCGCCCTCGCTTTCTGCATCTCCTTCAGCTCCAGGCTGGAGCAAGCCCAGATGCTGGGAAAATGGAAATTCATTCCCCCTTGCCTCTGCAAAAGTAAAATCTGTCTTGAAAAATGTTTACAGAGGAGCTTATTTTACCTTCAGTCTTTGACCATTAGCTTGAGACCTGCCCCGCCCTGCTTCCACTCTGTGCAGAAGTGCCCAACCTACCATTTATTTTAATTAATCCAGAGCAGTTTTGTGAGTGCCACATCCTTTCTGTGTGGCACAAACTGGAAGCACTAACTTCCCTAAGCACAAAGCAGCGGCTCTCTTGATATGCAAATGCCTGGTGTGATCTCCCCACTCATCTCACAGCACAGGACACTTCAGCTAGTGCCAGCTTGTCATGAAAGCACATCAGTATGGGACTGGGACATCTACGGGAGCTTTTCAGAAATGATATCAAGGTTAAATCTTTTCCATGGACCCAAAGGATTCCTATGACCAGCACTAGGTACAGAGAAGCACTCTGCAGAGCTTGGGTGCAAGGTCATCCTGAGTGTCCAAAGGCAACAGGGACACAGGAGGGACAGCAGTGCCAGGGTAGCTGAGGGCTCACAAATGGGGTAGGAGCTCTAAGCCTGGGTATTTTTCCAGTCCAGGCTAGATATGACGTTTCACATCCACCTGGATGCCATCAGTACCTGCATCACTGCTCTCTGCGTGCCTGCGCAAGCCTGCCCTGCCAAATCCCTCCGCTACGTCTCCATTACCTGCGTAGAGATCCACCAGGACCTCCCCGGAGCAGGGCAGTGAGGCCACCCGCAGCTTCTCCGTGATGTTGCCCGGTGAGAACATGCACTTGGTCACGTCGAACGTGTACCTGGGAGATATTGCCAGCCCGGTGAGGGCAGCCCCTTCCCTGCACCAGCTGCATCCGGCACCGTGGCTCCTGCCTACCTGATCCTGTTGTCCACGTGCTCCACCCAGCCGTCCTGGCCCAGCAGCAGGGTGACACTGGGAGACCGCATCCCATCCGGCAACACCCGTCCTTGCCTGGCCAGCCGCCGGGAACCCAGAGCTGAAGCAACCGTCTCCCAGAGCGTTGGACCTGCAATGCACCCGTCCCAAGAGCTTTGGAAAAGGCCAGGGCAGCACTGCAGGCAGGATCGGGGCAGGCAGACCTCACTCCCCCTTACCCAGCTTCTCCCAGGACGCGGCCCTGAAGCTGTCCTCACTCAGCAGGACCAGATCCCCATGCCGCTGCCAGGCGCGGGGCACGT